CTCATAAGGTAACATGTTAATGTTGTTAATGTCAGTGAACGCTTAAGATTTGATAATAGATTTCTTTCAATGTTTTAAGTTGTATTCAAATATCAAATTTTCATAAAAAATCTCTTTCAATCTGACTTATCTTTACTCAAAGTGTGTATTGTGTTCAATTCTAAGTAATTATAAAAATTAAATATGCTCAATTATAAAGTTATAAGCTACTTGAAAGGTATTGAGTTCAATTTTAATTAATTAAACAAAATTAAATATGCTTAACAATAAAATTATAAGCTATTTGAAAGTGACGGTAGCTAGAATTAGGGTATCTCTTTATTAAAAAAGAAAAAGAAAATAAATAAAAAAGACAGTAAAATGTAGAATCAATAAAAAAGAAGAAGATAATGTCACAATATCAAAAGTTGAATCATAAACCTTAAATTAAGACAAAAATAAATAAATTAAACAAATCAAAAGTTTGCTAAGACTCCAAACTTGAATGAGTCAGAGTAGATGACCCACATAAGACAACTTAGCAGTTTTAAAGAACATTAAAATATTTTTTTAGTTAAGAAAAATAAAATATTTTCATTTATTCAAATGGTTAAAATATATCAAATAAAAACAAAAACAAAAACTACACACAATTTACAAGACCTATTCTTTAATTTTTTAAATAATTAGCTAGCCTAATATTAATATTTTATTGTATACTACCTCCTTAAACATTTCTTTATAGAGTTCAAGCTAATCCACACACAGTTATAAGGATCATTCCAAATAATTGAGATTTATTTGAAGTGTTAATTTTTTCATAGTATACTATCTTCAAAAAAAAATTTCCTATTTTTTTAGTAAAATTATTAAACTATAAATCATTTTGTTCAACACTATTAAATATTATAGTTATTGAAAAAGCGTGGCGTAAGAGTTTGAACTCTAATAAGTTGTCATCATAATTAAACCACTAAACTGTAATAAGAAAGATAATATATTATTACAAAATTATAGATTAATAATATGTAATTATATTTTTTAATATTTACTATTCTTTTTATAAAATTTATTTTTTCTATTTTATTAAAGAGTAATAATTTTATAAGTTTTTTGATTATTTCTTTATCATACCATAATTAAATTCATTAATATTTGTAAAAGTATTTCTTTTAACCATAAGTATAAAAAAAAAAAATTTGGGAGTTTTTAATTCCAGTCGGTAAAAAAAACACCATATGAAAATTTTAAAATATCTTTTAGATTTTAAAGATTTATCTTCAAACGCGTCATTTGTATCACTAAATGACTCATCAAATGAGTCTCACCATATTTTAAAATAAAATTTTGTTTCAGAGACCGTATGATTTATTATTTATTGAGCACCCAAGGAGTTTTCAGACATGACAATTCAATTTATTATTTATTGAGCATCCAAGGAGTTTTCAGAAATAGATTTCCAGAGTTTTAAAGTGACAATTTGAAAACTTGTTCAAAACCCATTCCAAAAATTCTTTCGTTCTCAATCAAGATTTTTACTCCAAACTTTCATTATTACGTTTAATTCAGAAATGTATTTATGGATGTTGTATGAATTTCTCAAGAAATGCATTTTCAAAGTCTTTATGTTTTCATTTTCCAACTGTTTGTTTTCAGTTTTAACTCTTTTGAGCATTTTATGTTATTGTTTTCACTAGATATGATGCACCCCATGTTTCTCCGAACATATTGTGTCTCCGGATGCCAAACTTGTTGTTGTGAAGGAGGTACACATTGACAACCATTTTAAAAAGGAACAAGAGTTTGAATTTCGTGATCAGATACTTCAATGAATTCGTACGAAGACATTCAAACTGAGGGTTTTGTGTTGTAGTCAGGTCTAATAATGATTCGGATAAAATATTTACATTTGTGACAATAATATGCGAAATAAGTGAAAAATATAGAACTCCTCTCTGAAATTTCAAACGAGATGACACAGGTTCAAAAAAATATGAATGTCCCTTTAGGTTGCGTGGTTATTTGTTGGGAAATAACAAATGGAGATTTAATGTGATATGTGGTTTACATAATCATGACTTGTGTGAAAAGTTATTTGGTCATCCAATTGCATGTCGCCTCATGTCAGAAGAGAAGGAATGCATTTCAGACATGACAATGAATTTGATGCAACCGAAAAACATACTTGAAACTTTGACACGTAAAATACTTGAAAATATCGCAAATATTGGACAAGTCTATAATATTCGGTACCAAAATAACAAGGCACTGCGAGGGGTAGAACTGAAATGCAACAACTCTTGAAAGTTTTGGATGATAACAAATATGTATCTAGGTACCGAATGTGCGACGATGGTGTAACCGTTAGAGATATATATGGGACTCATCCTGATTTCATCAAGTTTTTTAATACATTTTCTACCATGCTTAACATTGATTCAACGTACAGACTTCCACTATTGAAAATTGTTGGTATTAACTATACTAAGAAGACATTTTATCGAGTTTGCATTTCTGGAGAGTGAAAAAGAGGATATTGTTACCTTTTAACATTGTATCGTATGTAATCTTGTATTAATATTAATGTTACTTCTTTTGTCATTTTAGTTTTTATTCAACAATGTATTATATGTAATCTTGTATTAATATTAATAATGTATATATATATATATATATATATATATATATATATATATATATATATATATATATATATATATATATATATATATATATATATATATATATATATATATATATATATATATATATATATATATATATATATATATATATATATATATATATATATATATATATATATATATATATATATATATATATATTCACATGTTTTAATACATTTTTAAGTTTTCTAAAAAATTATGCATTTAAAACATGTTGTGTTTCTGTCTAAAACAAAATTTTATTATGTTCTGAGTGGTTTCGAAAATACATATCCGGAATAACAAAATAGGGTAGTACCAGAGATGCATCTTCGAAACATCCTCTGGTACAAGATAGAATTTCAGTGGTCCATATTTGTCTACAACCACTATACGTGTGAGCTCTTGTCTTATGTTTTATACCAAAATATATTACACCAAAATCAACATTAATTGACATGTCGCATATGTTTACTTCAACGACGCGAATCCCTGAATTAAAATTATGTTGAATGAGTACACCTGTTGGAATATTATGTTAATATTCAAATATAGGGAGATTAATTTGAACATTTTTCGTTAAGTCAAGTCCTACATTGTGTGTTAGTTGAAAAAACTCCTTAGTCTCACATTGCTTAGGGGAGATATATTTCCTTCCTTACTTCATTATATAAGGAAATTCCTTATTTCATTCCAAAACACACCAAAAATTCCTTGTATGAGTTTTTCCTTCCTCACTCTCATAACTCGGTGTCTTTCGAATTGTCGAAACACCAACTTCTCCCCCTTTCTTTCTACTCATTGAATTTTCCAAGTATTTTCTTGAATTCTCTATAGAGAATTATGTTAATCTTTCCTCGTTTGAGTTGAGAAATTACAAGTATAATTTTTGGATTTTCTTTTGAGAATTATTCAAACTTCTCTTTTTTTGAAAAATCATTTTGATTGGTTAAAAGATCATTATTGAATTCTCTTTGGAGAATTATTGAAATTTCTCTTAGTTTGAGAGTTATAATGACTGATCGTTATACCAGATATTGCAAATGATATTTATATCATATTCGAATGGTCTTTGTACCATTAAATGGTGTATTTATAGACCGATTATCTACCGTGCAAGTAGTAATCTTACAATATAGAATTGAGTTGTTTTATCCTGGAGGCGACGCGATAGTTCGACTGTTTTGCATAACTTTGAGCAGTGTCGCGAAACGTCTTAAAGAGAGCGACCTAGTCCATGACTCGACCCAGTAATTTCATTTGTGGCTAATTTTCAAAACTATGAAACAATAACACCCTTTTTGCATATCTGAAATACATACTGCAGAATTCATACCTTATAGAGACAATCGAAAAATTGTAAAGATCTAATACCGTTCACATTCGATTGACAATGAAGGGAAGATTGAGTTCAATAACTTTGAGATGAAGACAAGTGCAAATTTAAAAACTATGTGGAATGCTTTTTTTTCGTTTAGAAACACAAGTTCCGATCGAGGTGGATGCGATGGTTTTGAGATCGGTCGAAGATATTATTAAGATGTTGAAACGTCCATCTGAATATTAAAATGTAATATTTGATTTATGTTAACATCACCTATATAATACTAATTTTATGTTATCAATACTAATTTTATTTTGTCAAGTTGCAACTTTCTGATTTTTTTATGCTTTATGCTTTAGGAGGCTATGAAAATATACCTCCATAATGTTTTACGAAAATACATCTCAAAAATCAAAATAGACATAACCTAAAACCTTATTTAAAATCAACATTAATTATATATATTTACAGTACATCCAAAAATACTTAAGGACATTAATAATTCATAGAAACATTGAAAATATTGTCTTATTTTTAATTACATTACTCATTGATATCCAAAGTATTATGATGATTACTATATAGATTAATTACATAAGTTATTCTATACATTTAAAACAAAATATTGTTCTAATAGTAATCAGAAAATGACTCACAATAAAATCTAGAAGAACATACTTTTTTAACACATATATTAGCCAATTACAAGTCACACCATATTAATTGAATAACCCTATTTCAAAGTAACACGTTAACTCTTAAAATTTAATTATAATCATAATCTTTAAAGTGAACCAAATAAGTGTCTTTAGTTTATAGATCTCCTTAAAGAGAAAAGGGCATTATTGAAATTTCCCCATCAAACTCTGATTCTTTTCTCATCTATATAAGACAGGCCAGTGCTGCTATCTCTCTCCCCCTCCTCTCTCTCTCTCTCTCTCTCTCTGGAAAAAGCCATAGCTGAATCGAAGTAATCAACACACACAGTAACAAATTAGCAACGGTTTTTCATTATAGTGTCACTACAAACCATGGGATTTCCCGTCGGTTACACAGAACTCCTCTTCCCAAAACTCGTCCTCCACCTTCTCTCCATCTTCACCTTCATCCGGAAACTCATTTCCATCATCTTCACCCATCTGGGTCTCCCGGATTTCATCGAACCCGACATTCCATGGCCGGAAAGCTCAACCCGAATACCCGAATTCGAATCCGTTTCAGCTCTTCTCATCCGCGAAATCCTACCGGTTGTCAAGTTCAACGAGCTAGTGGACCCACCCGAAAGCTGCGCCGTTTGTCTCACCGAGTTCGAGGAAAACGATGAGATCAGACGGTTAGCGAATTGCAGACACATTTTCCATCGAGGTTGTTTGGACCGTTGGATGGGATACGATCAGAGAACGTGTCCGTTGTGTAGAACTTCGTTCATACCTGATGATATGCAGAGTGCTTTCAATGAGAGACTTTGGGCGGCTTCTGGGATCCCTGAATTTCACTCTGATGTTTCTGTTTTGTAGCTTCTTTGAAAACCTAAGAAGAACAAACATGTTTGGATTTTGTTGTTTAAGGTTGTTGTTTTTCTTTTGTTTATTTGTACATAGATAGAACTCAAACTCATGAAAGAAATGAGATTTTATATAGATAAATTTTGTAGATTTTGGATCTGGGTCTTGTTGTTATGAGTTTTATTTTAACCTTCTAATTCTGACTATGTTTCATTTTACCTATAATTGTAGTCTTCTTTTTTTACCGAACTAATATGAATAACATAATTTGTTACTAAATCAGTGATTTGATTTGATTTGTACAGGTAGAATAATAATTTATTATTCATGTGTGGTGTGTGTTGAGAGGGTATTAATTAGGGCATTCTCAGTTTCTGTTTAGAAAAATGAAGGATCTGAATTCAGTTGAGTAACCAGCAGGAGGGAAGAGAATATGAGTTATTTTTTTCTGTTTAATAATGAGTGACTCGTTTAAAATAAATGTGTGTTTTAAAATGAATGATTAATATTATTTTTATTATTTCTAATACATGATAAAAGGATTTTAGTAAAAATATCACTTTATTTAATTCATTTATTGTCAACTGAATCATTTATTGTGAATCGGAGTAAGGTGTAATAAATAAAAAGAAAGAAGAGTGAGTGAGTGAGTTGAGTTGTGTTTGGTTAGAGGTAACGTTAACGTAGAAAAATGGGCAAGTAATGGTAGGTAGGCTCCATAGGGAATTAGATTCAGAGTAGAGTAGAATAGAGTGACGTTGCTTCAATTGCAAATTACAACTATTTAAGGTTGATTTGCCAAATTTACTTCATTTTCATTAGGACTCTTTTCCAATGCTTAATGCTTACATGAAGATAGTACTTCTGTTGCTTAAATTTTTTATTATACAAGTAAAATTGTTAACATTTGTTTAGAGATTGTTTAAATGATTGTGATCATTTAGACTCGTAAAAATTAAATGATTGTCAAAATTAGTTTTTGTAAAATGCTCTAACAAGAAAAAATTATTGACTTTTTTTAGTTATTGTAAAGCCTTTTATTTTGCAAATAATTACAATATTTTTTTAAAGATATTACCTCAAAATACTTTATATTAAGAAATTCAAAATGCTTAATTTTTAGTTAATTTATTTTATTATTTTTTAAATAAATTAAATAATTATTATATCTGATTCATAACTAATCTAAATATATTCATTATTTAATATATTTAAAAAATAATATTCTTTATAATTAAAATCAGGGATAATATATTTAATCTTTTACATAAATTAAATATTTTGATACTTTATCTCTAATAGAAATGATAAAAAAAATATTAAAAAAATAACTAAAAAAATAGGGATACTGCCATTTTATCGGGAAAAGTTCTAGGAAATCCATCCTAAAAGTAGAATAGTTTGAGATAGGAGATATTTTAATTTTTTCAAAAAAAAAATATATTTTATACGGCCTCAAATATAAAAAACAAATTAAAAATAAATAAATTTAGTGAAACGGAGGTGAATAGACCTTCATTTAAAGGTTGTTCTTTCAAATCGCTATTAGAGGTAGATGTTTTGTTTTAACTTTGTTTTCATCGAGAAATGTTTGTTTATTTTGATAGATGACACTATCTCATTTGTGTAGAATTTTCATGTTATTTCATTCCTTCCTCTTCCTAAAGCAGTTACTTCTGCTTTTTTCACTCTTGTTCCAAAGGTGGCTCATCCCACTAAGTTCGGTGAATATAGGCCTATCTGTCTGGCCGGTAGCTTATATAAAATTTTAGTTAAATTGTTGCTTGCGAGGTTGAAAAAGGTTATTGCAGATATCATCTCTCACTGTCAAACTGTCTTCGTTCCTGGAAGGAGCTACTGGACGGAGTTCTGATTGCACATGAAATTGTGGATAAGGCTACAAGGGATAAGAAGGAATGCATTCTTTTCAAAGTAGATTTTGAAAAAGTGTATGATTGCATCAATTGGAAGTTCCTTCGTAAAATGATGATCAAAATGGGCTTCGGAAGAATTTAGATGAGGTATATGGATGCCTGTATTTTCAAGTGTCATTTGTGTATCTTGGTGAATGGCAACCCTACAAAGGATTTTGAAGTGGGAAGAGGTTTACGTCAGGGAGATCCGCTTTCGCCCTTTCTTTTTGTGATTGTGGCTGAAGGCTTGTCGGGGATGATGAAAAAAACATTTGAGTAAAGAGTATTTGAAGGATTTAGAGTTGATAGTGAAACCTGTTAGATGACGGTACTGATCTAGAAAGGGGGTTGAATAGATCACTTATTAAAAACAGAGTCGGCACTTATTAATATTTGGTTTTTAAAAAGTTTTAAGCGGAAGCGGCCGAGGAACTATATTCGTCTAAACGAACCTTTACCGAAAAGATCAAATATACGTAAAGCCTATATGGAATACCGATAAAGACGAGATTTAGAATCAATAAGTTGAACACACATCAATCAGATTTTGTTCACTTAAAGTTAGACAGTTTTCAATGTGTGTGAAATATAAACCAATTGAAAAACAGCTCAAGTGTTTGTGTTCACGCAATTAGTCAAACACTTGGTGTGCGAAGCACCTCAAGTAAATTTCAATAGGTGAATGAAGTGGTATGTTCTTCAATTACAATCAAAAGATTGTAATGAAGTTTCTAAAAATGTTTCAGCACTAACACACACCAGAATTTTAATCAACTAATATGTTTACACACAAACTCAAAATTCAGCAATGAAAATAGTAAAAAAAGATAACACAAATTTGTTGAGGTCATTTTAATTTTTTTTTCAAAAAAAATATATTTTATGCAGTCTCAAATATAAAAAACAAATTTAGTGAAACGAAAGTGAATAGACCTTTATTTGAAGGTTGTTCTTTCAAATCGCTATTAGAGATAGATGTTTTGATTTTGCAAGCCCCTTTCTTTGAGGATGAATTGGAGTTGTGATGGAGCCAAAAGCTCGGAGCCTGACGATTTTAACTTTGTTTTCATTGAGAAATGTTTGTTTATTTTGAAAGATGACACTATCTCATTTGTGTAGAATTTTCATGTTATTTCATTCCTTCCTCTTCCTAAAGCAGTTACTTCTGCTTTTCTCACTCTTGTTCCAAAAGTGGCTCATCCTACTAAGTTCGGTGAATATAGGTCTATCTGTCTGGCCGGTAGCTTATATAAAATTTTAGTTAAATTGTTGCCTGTGAGGTTGAAAAAGGTCATTGCTGATATCATCTCTCACTGTCAAACTGTCTTCGTTCTTGGAAGGAGCTACTGGACTGAGTTCTGATTGCACATGAAATCGTGGATAAGGCTACAAGGGATAAGAAGGAATGCATTCTTTTCAAAGTAGATTTTGAAAAAGTGTATGATTGCGTCAATTGGAAGTTCCTTCGTAAAATGATGATCAAAATGGGCTTCGGAAGAACTTAGATGAGGTATATGGATGCCTGTATTTTCAAGTGTCATCTGTGTATCTTGGTGAATGGCAGCCTTACGAAGGATTTTGAAGTGGGAAGAGGTTTACGTCAGGGAGATCCGCTTTCGCCCTTTCTTTTTGTGATTGTGGCTGAAGGCTTGTCGGGGATGATGAAAAAAGCATTTGAGTAAAGAGTATTTGAAGGATTTAGAGTTGATAGTGAAACCTATTAGACGACGGTACTGATCTAGAAAGGGGGTCGAATAGATCACTTATTAAAAACAGAGTCGGCGCTTATTAATATTTGGTTTTTAAAAAGTTTTAAGCAGAAGCAGCCGACGAACTATATTCGTCTAAACGAACCTTTACCGAAAAGATCGGATATACGTAAAGCCTATATGGAATACCGATAAAGACGAGATTTAGAATCAATAAGTTTAACACACATCAACCATATTTTGTTCACTTAAAGTTAGACAGTTTCCAATGTGTGTGAAATATAAACCAGTTGACAAACAGCTCAAGTGTTTGTGTTCACGCAATTAGTCAAACACTTGGTGTACGAAGCACCTCAAGTAAATTTCAATAGATGAATGAAGTGGTATGTTCTTCAATTACAATCAAAAGATTATAATGAAGTTTCTAAAAATGTTTCAGCACTAACACACACCATAATTTTAATCAACTAATATGTTTGCACACAAACTTAAAATTCAGCAATGAAAATAGTAAAAAAAGAGAACACAAATTTGTTGAGGCAGTTCCCCATCGTCCTCACTTGGGGTACGTCTGTCTTCAATTCTAAAAATAGAATTTAGACCCGTATATATAACCAGTTGCAAATTGTTTTTACAAGAGAAGAAATATAATTCAAACAATCAAACCCAAACGTTGATGCCGAGTCTATGCCTTCTCTTCCCTTGATTCAAGATGAATCAAGTCCTTCGAACGTGATGAGTAAACCTCCAATTACGACACCACCTTTGAACAACCCTCTGGTCTTTAAATCTTTCCAGAATGATTTCAAACACCAACGATTCGAACCCAAACCTTGCTACCACAATCCTCTGATTAACGCTACTAAACTGACAGAACCTCTTGTTCTTCAATTACCTTCGCTCGGCTAAATCTGTGAAGGAACGATTTGTGCAAAACCCTCAAAATCCAAGATTCTTGGAGGACAAAACCCGATACACCAACCTTAAGTTTGGACGTTATCACCTCGATGATGCAGAATACACAACAAAAATGATTATGTGTAGTTGTTGAGAAAATGCAAGAAAGAGGATGAAGATTATGAGAACCAAATCAGTGTATATTTTCACTTTTCTTGTTTTTTGTGTGAAGAATGAACTAACTCAATATATATGCAAGGTTGAAATCAATTAACCAATATAACAGACACTTTGAATGTTACACATAACAGAAATTCTGTGAAAAACGCGCGAGCGGTCGACCTACAACAAGGGGAGGGTCGACATGAGCTCTCCCGATTTTAGGATTATGCAGAAAACAACACTTTGCATCGACCGGAACAGGTCCATGCGTTGACACAAAGGACCCCAATTTAGACAATCACAAATGCACACAGTATGAGTCGACCGGAGG